CGGAATCTACGAATGAAATTTAGATTTAGATTCTAAATTCCCGTTCTTGCTACATTTAACCTTTCTTCATTCATTATGAAGAGGTTAACCCATATACGGTATACCTCCAATTATAACAAAACCCCACCTAAGCCTCATCATCATACCGTATTTCTTTATTGTATTAATCAGTTAAATACAAAAAGCAACCAACGTATAGCTAGAGCTAATCATGCTCGCCACTTAACCCACATCCCTACAAAATTATGACATATGCCCCTATTCTTAAAAAACTAAAAATAATATCAGGTGTTACATAATAATAATAATAATAATAATAATAATATTAATAATAATATAATAATAATAATAATAATAGTAATAGTAATAACAATTATAATAGTAATAATAATGATAATTATTATTATTATTATTATTATTATTATTATAGGCCTAATACCGTACTTATTTGCGTGAATAAGCCGAATTATACCATTCTCCATGATTATATAATTCTGACCAAAAATAGGTTATATATAGGCCTAGAGTATCTTTATTTTTTTCCGAAACTTTCAGTACAGTATCTTATTGTTAACTATAAATCATTAAAATACAAGCAAATTTACAACAGAATGAGATAGAACTTTTTTTATCAGTGAATTTGTTAGAAAATCTTTTCCCGTTGAAATGTTTAGTTTAGCAATTCAATATATTTCTCCAAGTTTATTAGACTTAGACTTACATGACTGTATGATATCTTTGATGCGATAAAAAAAAAACATGCTGGTACACAAGATAACCATATCATAGAAAAGTTATTATTATTGCAAAAGGAATATCTTGCCTTTGTGTCCCTAGCTGAAACCATCATCGGATGGAAATTTTCATTATTATAATGACGAAAATAAAACATGTTTGGTTAAAGCACAGCTGGCCGTGATAATGCAATACAACAACTAAATACGGCCATTTACTGTCTTATAACCATTACAGATATATAATCAAATAATAATGTTATTCTTAACTACGTATTTTCATTATAAAACAATTTGTTACCCGTAGACCTAGTCAATTAACATGCATACAAAATTTGTATTAACTTGTAAAACGGCTTATACAAGAATGAATTAAAATATGGTATGTATTACAATAATTGTAATTTGCCTTTCTCACTTTGTCTTTTAGTGGAGAAAAATCTTCATTTAAAAAAATATTTAACCAAACAAAATTATTTTTTAGATTAGTTAATATTGAGATTGTACCGGTACTTATTGTGATTATAAATAGCGCCATCTATATTGCAGGTAATTATGAAATCAGTTGTCAAGCGGTATCTCTTCAAACTGCAACAAGACAAAGCAAATGATGAAGTAAACGAAGGTAAACTTTTTGACGTTTGAAAAAGTATAATAAATGTTTATTGCAAATGCACTTTTAGTGTGTATAGTTATGACGACCGACATAGTGCAGTAGCATTTTGTTTTTATGTCCCATGTGCACTGTACCTACACTTAGGCCTAAACATAATATATATATATTCCGATGGCGTTTACTTTTGCGTCAAGAGAAATAATATGAATCGATGTTTGCCCTACGTGGTCGAGCTGTTAAGACACCAGGCTAGTTATCTGGAGGTTGTGAGTTCGATTCCCACCCGAATCACTTTTCGAGATTTTTTTTCTCTCAAGCATTTGGGAACGCACTACGCGTCAGGAGCCAAACATCGATTAGTATAATGTATATATATATAAACATACGTAGAGAAGATTTATTGTGATACCATCCTCCAAACAATGTAACAAGTCACTGGAATTTAATGGCTGATAAAATATTTTTAAAAAAACACAACCTAAGAATAACAGTGCAAGTTACATAATTTCCTTATCACGTTTCATATCAATGTCCTGGTAGATGAAATCTTGGCCTTACAACCAAATTCTAGTCTTAACCAAAAGGATGCTAAATCTAAACTTAAAGATGACGTGCAATCGTATTGGAATATCCATGTGAGAGGGGGCTCCTTGTCCAGAGACGCTTTTATAAACTTCTCACTCTCCAAACTTCATGAACCAATTGGAAAAGCATCGCTGTCAATCTCCCACATAGCGTTTTAAAATTCATGGTCAATGCTTTCGTTGACACTCTCAATAAGGTAAATTTGAAGAGATGGGGTATGGAAATCTCTAGGCTTGCGGAAACCGGGATCCTGTCCATCACATCTTTCTTCTGTAAGCGGTCCCTGGACCAGAGCCGTCTCACATGGAGACATAATAGTATTTTAAACCACTGATATTAAAACTGCTGATGAGGGCCTTAGAGCTCCCCCTCTCACCTCCGGATATTCATTCTGACCCTGTTTGTGGATTAAAGACAAGACATAGGGTTTTCCTTACGTTCCATTTTGCCACATTTGTTTTGTTTGTATATACAAAAAATATATATTTTTCTATACTATTTTCGTATTGTTAAAATTTTAATGTTTTTGGCACATAAAATTACAAAAAATATTGATTCTGTGATTTTGATTATTTCTATAGGAGAACTCGATGAGATTAAGAAGGACATTTCCAGTCTTCGTTTTGAGTTGATGGAACAACTATCTCGTCAACCGAGGACACTAGCCCCCGCTAATTCGGAATCATTCGACAATGATGTAGATAGTATTAAAAATAAACTAGCTTCGATTGAACAGACTATGGGCAACTTGAGCAACCGGATCGATGAGCTTCGAGACGACTTGGTTCTTCCAAGAAGCGATGATTGCCGTGATATAAACATTGAGTACAAACATTTACAGAACAATGAAGGGCATGTGAATCCAGCCTACGTAGAACATGCATCAGAGCTAGAAAAACCCGATTACGTATGATCTGAGATTACTGTTAAGAAACTGAGTTTAGGTCAAAATGTAGAAATTGAGATTTTATGGTAACATTCAATCTGTCAATTTATGCGTGAAGCTATTGCTCGATGTAACCAATGCATAATCTTGTCAAAGCCCTTTCAGTTTTTTTTTTTTTAATATGTATTTATTGACGTAATAAATATCGTAATTATCAACATAAAAATTATGTAAAAATTATCTAAGATCTTAATCATTTGGTCCTTTTTTAGTAGGAGTGCAAAAGGAAGTGCATCCCTTACATCCCCATCTGAAAATCTGAAAAGGTGACCTAAATATGATAAATAACATTTGACGGCAAGTGAATAACCTACTCAGACTAACATACTGACATATTGTTTACATTTAAATTAGCTCTTTTTGGGTGGATTTGGCGTAATGTGTTATATAAATGTGATCATTTTAATATATCATCACCAATAGTAGTAGCTTTTGTAGTACTAAATATAAAATGCTAAAATAACGTATTTAATAAAAAGGTCAGAATTTAATCATAATTAGCATAAGGTAGCAAAATTAATGAATGCATCCAGGACTGCATGAGAAACCAATTTTTTGAACAAATAATTAGTCTAATATTTTTGTTGAGATAACTTGGGACAATAATGTGATATAATTGAATTGAATCAGTTGTTAGAAGGTCAATTAAAAGTTAAGAAGAGAAAATAATTATTTGCTTGTCAAATGTCACTGTCCTATTCCTTGAATAGATACTTAAATGGAACTCAACAGTGAATTTAAAAATTCGAAAATAATAAATTGTTTCGATCTGTGTCTAAATTAAAGTTCCTAGCATATTCGATCCTTTTAGATTAATGGTGGTGATTAGCTATTTAATGTTTTAATATAAATTTTGTGTTTACAGATTTAACACACACAGAATCTGACTTAAAAATCGACAGTATGTGCTGCTTGTTGCTGTTGCTGCTGTTGCTACTAATGTAGGCCTACTGTATCTTTTTGGATCTTAAAAATGATTATATTTTTAAACTCCATTTCAGTTTAGCTCCATTCTAAGATATATTTCAAGCTTATAATGTCTTTATTTTCAAGTTTGAAACCTCCTAAGCTCATACCTAACTCTAAAGTGTATTCTTCAAAATGGTGTCTCTTAATTCTTTTCAATTTAAAGTGTTTGTGCTTTTCACGACAAAGAAATCCAATCCAATGTATAGTGGTTGATGTCAGACTAATTTAATTTTAGAAATTTCAGAATAAACAATAGGATGATATTGCATGTTACAACTTCTGATGTAGTAGAAGCAGTATATATAAGCAGCAGCAGTAGTAGCATAGTAGTAGTACACTCTAAATGCAAAAGAGATAATTTTAATCATTATCATCATCATCATTACCATTATCATCATCATTATCATCATCATCATTACCATCATCATCATCATCATCATCATCATCATCATCATCATCGTCATCATCATCATCATTGTCATCATCATCATCATCATTATTATTTGATTTATATACTTTTGAACTTTAGTATTAGTGTAGCAGTAGCAGGCCAAGTACTAGTAGCAGCCGTTGTATAACCGCTGTAGCAACCAAGCAGTAGCAAAAACAGCAGCCTAAGTCGTAGGCATCTTGTAGTTTAGTAGAAGCTGTATCAAAAGCAGTAATGGTAGTATGGTCATGTACTGATTCCTCTAATTTAAGAGAGGTTGCAGTAAAATTATATTATAATGTTAATATTGTAGTTAACAACTCACGACAACAGATTCACATAAATAAAATATAATTTTAATGTACAGGTGTGTATATACTGTATTGTATAATAATTGTTTACAATTTTAGAGTATTTATTATGATTATTTATTATTATTGATTATGAAGACTGCATGATTCTGTGCATGTTATTTTTATATGAACTTTATGCAAATTAGGTATAATATTTAATGAATATGATTGGTATTAAGCGTTTTGTTTGGAAAGTTTTAGAGAGGTCAAATAATACCGATGCATATAATAAAATATTACTGATGATTGAAATGTTTATGCTTTTTGTCTGAATTTTATAAAACAAATATTGTTGTACTGTACGCGCTTTCAGGCCTAAGATGGTGAAACTTTAGCTAAATTAAGTCGAAAATGTGATGTCACTAATATATGATTGATGTAATTAAAGTGGAAGTAGATCTGTTGTATAATGAGTGCTGCTACAAGTTATAAATGAGTGTTGAGTTTCTGGAGGCTAATGCAACTCAGCAACATTACAGCCCCATACACGTTTGCCTGCTAGCTCAATTATTACAGTATACTATCATAATAAACATTTTGTTCATTTTACAAGAGCGATTTATCTAAATAACAAACATTCTTATTATTACCAGTATTTCTAAAAGCTCAGAGACATTCAGAAAAAGACCGTCTAATTAACTGTTAATAATAATAGTAATAATAATAGTGTAGTTTTATATAGCGCACAAATCCATCTAATTTAAGATGCTGAGGGCGCTTGAAATGTGGACTAGGAACTCGATCAATGACTCCCAAATAGGGAGCTTTCGATTTGTGCGACGACGCGACGCTAGAACGGAATCACTCATGCGTGACCGTCCTACCTGGCGTCCTACGTTCTCTGCATACGTAGATCAGGGTAATTCAACAGAAGGACGCACATCTCCGCTCTCGAACATAGCGCGTGCGTACAGTCCTTTGATCTTTACTGTGGCATCGACAATCCGGTACTAGTTGCGAGTACAGCCGTCAATTATTAGTCTATGCATGCCATTCGTTTTATGGTGTTAGTTTTATCTTATTAATTTTGGGTACTTCGCAATATCTGTTACATCTGATTTTTTTTTACCGCGAGCTTGTTAATTGCTTCTATATACTGCAATTTGATTTGTGAAAATTGACCAAGAAAATGAAAAGTTATAGCAATTTAAATTTTACGAGTTTTATAAAATTTCATGTTCTTATGTAATATTAATCTGTCATTTTGACAATGTTGGCAGACGGTGCAATAATAACATATTGACTACTATTGTATATTTTCGGAAAATATTTCAGCCGCTCCAAATCTCTTTCCTATTCTTCCTTCTTCCTTTATTCTTTCTCAATTTTGAGTTTTTCCTTCATATTTTTCATAGATTTATACACTCACACTTTCATTTGTTTTAGGACTGGTCTAGGCTAGACCTCGGCTATCAGTGCCTCTTACTATATTATTTAAATATACAATTTTAATAGATAAAATTAATTTAACATAGACATAGTAATTCATACTTAAACAATACATTAAATTTATATATTAATATGATAACGTTAACGAATAAATAACAATAACTAAACCGTGTACATAATGTATCACTACTGCAATAATAAGATTAACATTTTCAATCCTATAATAAATTTTATACAGCCGGTGTTATGTATTGACCTAGGCTACTATACGGCTAATGACAGGTACGCTTTCACCATTAAAGGCTTTTTCTATGAATGGAATGACCTGTACGAAACACGAGCTCCTGTAGACCAAACCCAATACCGTTACGATTTTAATCGTACGGGAAATATCCTCAAGATGAATTGCCTTGCGTAGATTTGGCCAAATTGCTTTCCAGAACTCGACGAGGTGAACTTAACGTTCTCGCATGCGCAGATGACTTTTAGTGACGTCATTACGTTCTACCGTCATCGTGCAACAGAAAGCTCCCTAATAACCCAGCTCCGAGATTTAGACCTCTGGGGATATAGCAGCGAGAGTACCGAATTAATCCCAACCACAAGTCTGCAATAAAGGACCGAACGAAAATGTTGGCAAGGAAAATAGAAACATAGGCCTAATAATGTGAATGGAAAATGTTGTGTCTACCTTTCCATTTCGGCAGTTGGAGTAAAAAAAAAATGTGTAAAGGTAACCAACCATGCATTGCATAGAATATCACGGCCATAGAAATTGTGCATTGTCTTATAACATTTAATGATCCATAACTGTAACATGATCGTGTGCGACGGATGCTTACTTTTGGTTTATTGTATATAATTTATGTTTTAAATGGATTGATTGAGTCTGTAATAAAGTAAAAGAAATACAGTGAATCTTGCAAATTAAGTGTGGATAAATTGCACAGTTAATCACCTGGCGAGAGGATCAATACTATGTTTACGTTTAATATAAGCATAGGGTTAAGAATGGGCTCACAATATTACTCCGTGGGACTACCATATAGATACCATTTATGGTTAAATGTCAAAGTTAGGCCAAGTAAGAAAAAAATAATTGGTTAGCATCCTTTTGGTATCAAATTTCATGGTAGGGAGGGAGGTTTTTTTTTTTTTTCTCTCGTCGAACATGAAAAACCAGCGTTGGAAGGAAAATTAGCAAAACAAAGAAGAGGAAAACAACAGAGGCCAAAATTGGATACAACTTAAGAAATCATGTAATTCATCTATAGCAAGCAGATAAGCTTTGCCTATATGAATAACGGTCATATTGAAATCCCTATATATGAAGTTTTAAAACATGCAACATTGTATATGTTTACAGAAATGATGATATCGATAACAGGTTTATAAAGCATTCCATCCTAAGTGGCGAGTGTAATTGCTGTTGGATGTGAAATTAAAAATAAAAATAACAACAGCAAAATAAGAAGATTGAAGTTTGTCATAGTCGTATAATAATTCATTGTCCATTCATAAACAGAAACGTAATTTTTGAACTGGCATTTTGTACAATTGATTACTATTTGTGATTGTTATCTGATTGAGTATCTACATATAGTGATAATACTCAATAGTGAATACTGTTAATGAGTTTGACTAGTATCATGTGCTATGTTTATGCTGAGAAACACTTTGACATCTAGTTGGACCAGCTGTTTGGAAACATCACGTCACTGTACCAGCA